CTCTCTCTCTCTCTCTCTCTCTCTCTCTCTCTCTCTCTCTCTCTCTCTCTCTCTCTCTCTCTCTCTCTCTCTCTCTCTCTCTCTCTTTCTTTCTCTCAAAATGATTTTAAACTATGTTATTACATAATAAAATCATCTAGATTATTATAACTATTATCTAACATAATAAGGAATTGCAAAACAAAAACATTATTGTTAACGCAAAATTTAATTAATATTGATACATCATACATGCATTATTGATATTACAAAAACTACAATACAAACAATGCTAATTAAACTAGCATAAAAACAATCTATATTATTTAGTTAGCATCGGGCAAATCTAATAACACTATCGGTGTCCACACCGGCCATAGGATTAGCATTACAGTAACGGACGACAGTCTGGTTGCCTGTGTTTAACGGGGCGACCGATACCTCACTAATAAACAGCATTTTAGATCTAGATCTGCGGAACGCACGGAAAATCCTTTGCATTTTACTCATTCTCCACTTGAATTCAACGTATGAATCATTATTTGAGGTCAGATTCAAATCGTCCGCAAGGATTACCACAGAATAATAGGTCTGTCCAGTGGTTAACCCGATGGAGCTGTTCGTTACACAAGGGTTAGCCAGTAGGTTTTGATATAATAATAAGGTTTTAATGCATAAATACTTACTCTTTAGTGGTGTCGACAAAATGGGATTTATTTGGAAATTTAAGGGACATTTTCCCGACATGTTTCTCATGATTGTGGTCAGTAATGTTGGACTCGTTAACCATTTTTATGGCAATCTTATATTGAAAACCTGCATTAATAATAAATTAATATTAAAATTATAACTATTTAAATTAACATAAATATCAATTAACAAAATATATAATTTTTTTTATAAAATTACATAGCTATAAAATTTTTAATTTTTAAACATAGTAAAATAACATTCATCTAGCTAAACTACTTACCACAAAAAGGTGATCTATCTAGTGTTTTTAGATAAAACGCTGTTTCATTTGAACGATTAGCATAGGGTTGCCATTTGTTGGCATTAAATCCCATTTGAGCGCAGAGGTGCCCATCGGGGCCACAATCTGTACAGCTGTTTGTATTGACGAACGTTTGCCAATTGGCACAGGCATGGGCTGTAAACTGGCATTTTTGAGCCTGCTCATTACAATTAATGCTCTCGATGAAATAATCATGGGCCCGGCGGTGATTGCAGGCAAACATCTCCCTTAAGCCTTCATTCCAACCAGCTTCAAAAAACTTTTTTACCCTATGCCGTGTGGAACATCCCGGCTGATCCAAGCCCCTGGTATAATTGGCCACGGTAGATTTAGTATATAGTGACATTTATAAAGTATATATTTTAAATTCTGTGAATATAACTAGTTTATATTTATATGTGTAAGTATACTAACCCATTGGGGTAAAAGTCAATGTGTCCGATAGTCTTGGCCATACCGGTGCCCCATTGAAAAGCCCCGCGCCGTACGGTCTCCGTGTGTATTACATCGACAAATAGAGCGTCACTTTTGGTCAGTCGACTCGAGTCGGGTATATGTCTAGCAAAATATTAATTGTGATTTAATTAAAATAATTAAATGCGATATACAACTAAAACTCTTTACATAAACTTACTTTACAATAACATTACTTTTAACATAATATTTTATATGCCGATATTAATTTGTTAAATATCAGCATGTTATTTGTTTATTTTGTGAAAAAAATAAAAATTATTCTCTTTCAATTGACGCCCCATTTGTATAACATTTGCATTTTATACAAATTAACATAAATGAATTGATATTAATTATTACAGTCTCTTTTCTCTCTCTCTCTCTCTCTCTC